CTCATTGCATATATCATTATCTGCTTGCATGGAAGGAGTCTCTGATGCCTTTAGCTGCTTCGAGAGGGAGATGGGGAGGGCAATTTCCCCTAACATCTTCAATGGGGGAGGGGCAAAGCAGCACAAGGCTTCTCCCTCTCTCTTTCTCTCCCCCTATAGTGCTCCTGTTTCTCTCCTACATGAGGTCCTGCCATTTATCTTGTCCACCCAGCCCCACTGATGCATCTTTGTGACCCCACCATGGCTGAGGAGACCCCACTCTTCACTGCACACATCCCTCCCTTTATCGCCCAGCGTGTTTCTAACCAAGGGGATGGTCAGCCCCAGGAAGAATTTCTGCCCTCCGCCCCTAGACTTGCTGTCCCAATTATGCACTTGCTACGGTTCTCTCCTCACCTGGAGGGGAAGGAGTCAGGGAAGGGCAGCCACTGGTTAGGGCCATCTGGCTGAATCCTCCTGCCAGGCACTCTTAGGGTTTGGGCTGCTGTGCACTTTTGCTGGTGCCTGTGAATGCAGAGGGAAAGCCGCTGGGCAGAGCACTCAAGTGGAGAAACCATCTAACTCATAGGTGTTGCAACTAGGTGTGCGGGGAGTGCCATAGCACCCCCTGGCTTGAAGTGGTTTGCATTATATACAGGATTTACAATTAGCGTCAATGGCTCCCAGCACCTGCATGACATAGATTGTCCTAACTTCCCCTCAGAGGCAGGAGACTGCCTTTGTTTACAAAAACAAACTCGTGTGGTGCTCAAGCGGGGGGAGCTGGGATGTTGGCTGGGTTTAGTCCTTCCTGGAACAGATTCCAAAACCCAGCAATAGTGCTAGCCAGACCGGGACTATTGACAACAATGGGTCTGGTAATTAAGGGCCCCGTTCTGCTTCCATGGAAGATGAAGGCAAAACTCCCCCTGATTTCAATGCAAGCCAAACAGAAAGTGATTTAAATTTAAAGCAAGAATTACTGTTCCACACCAGCCTTCTCCTCTTTCTTCCTGCAGCAAGGTCTCAATGCTGCATTTGTCACATCACAATCATTTCTATGGCGACAGACTGTGATGTCACAAACACATGGGTTGTAGCCATACCGCTTCAGACAGTGATTTCATTGCATCTCCTAAACTCAGCAGAGTTGGGATTTGGATGGGAGAACTCCAAGAAAAACCTAGGTACTGCAGGAAGTTATGTTGATGATTCAGTGAGCAGCAGCCTTTCCTCTGAGTCAGAACTGAGCCAATATGCCAGGGTAGCTCTAAACAGTTCACTGTGCTGCTGGAAGTGCTCTCTTTTGCATGAGATATAATAGTGAAGTCTTGACTATTTTTTGGTCAATCAAGATCCTGACTTTTTTTTCCTTCTTCCAAGAGCAAAGATGTTCTGCTTAGTGCCTTGATCAGATGCCAGGGACGCATCTATTCTATCAATAATGTCTCATTCAGGTTACATTACAGATGGTTTTAATTTTCGTTGTGTGTAGTGTTGCTGGCACAGAATGCCTGCCAGGTTAACATGGTGGATGAGCAATCTTTGTATATACAGTCTGTAGAGACCTTTGGAATGTCTGAGGCTGAAAAGTGCTTTATGAATCTAGGTTCACATTGTTACTTATTACTGTGAATAACAGGGTTGTGCATTCTTCAGCTTGACCTTGTAGAGAAAGTGGCAGGTAAGAATGAAAGTGATTGTTGAAGGATTTTGTATTCTTAAAATTATGCTCACCACAATAATTTTATTGCATTAATATATCTTTAGCATTTATTCATGTGTGAATTAAAATTAATCTTTATTAGATATCCATAGCTCAATTTAAAAATATGTGAAGAGGTGCGGTCTGTTTGCAGTAGCATCTTTGAAAATCGCATATATATAGTAACATTTCTTTACTTCGCTCATGTCCTCCATGTACACATTCCTGAAAAATGGCACCACTTAGCAAATATAGCTAAGGCTCTGAGGCCAGGAACTGTAACGTTACCACATAGATGAGACAGCACAAGCTGTCTATGGCATTCATAATGTGCCCATATCACACTGCTGTGTATGATAGGGGCCATAGTTGATCTGGGAAATGAAACATGCAATTATTTTCTTGGTATGAAATTGGTCAGCCCGGAGGACCATTCCGTGATTAGAGTCAATGTAGAAGTTTAAGTTCCTATTGTTTTGAGATCAGGTCCTGCTCTTGTTGGAGGGCAGGGGCTGATTTTGCTCTCACTTACACCAATGTAAATCAGGAGTAATTCCACTGAAATCAAAGAAGGGACATTTTGCATGAATGGGAAGAGGCATATCATGTACAATAGAATCAGTCTCTGGGGTTAGGTGCCACAGAACTGATGACAGTCAGTTTCCATGGATACCAATGATTTGATATTTATCAACAATGACAAAATGTATCCGGCTCCAGATTTAGTTATTTCTAATTTGTTATCCTGATGAGCAGTCATGTACTGTGATGAAATAAGGCAGCTGGTAATAGAAGCCTGAAGAAATCCGTGAGTGGTACTTTGAGAGTCTTCTGTGGCTCTGTCAAATAAAAGTTTGGTTGTGTTTCTGAAGTATAAAATATAAGGGAGGAAAACCCACAAATAATTTCTTTTTAAATGCAGCATCCCAGAGTCTGTGCAAAATGTGCAGAACAAAAATTGGAACTAATCCAAATTAGTGGGTTTTGGTATTTTGGAGTGAGTTTTTCTTGTTTTGTCTTAAATTAGAAAGAGTAATTTTATCAAAAACTCAAGTCCTTTTATGTTTTTTATTCACTTGGAAAGTGATCTAGTTCAGTGCAAAGCTGTCATTGAATGAATGATTTCTCTTTATCATGAACCCCCTGCCCCGATAACGTGAAAAAACCCCTGAAATAAAATGCAATGTGTGTGTACATGAGGATGAAAAAACATTTCATGGAAAAATATTCACTACTTTCTTAGATGCACAATTAGCAACTCCCGAGCAATGTTCCTTCTAATCTTTTGGATGTGCAGATTCTTCCATCCATGTGTGGAATCATTTTTATGTGCACCAAAGCATGTGCAAATGTGCACCACCAATAGAAACAAAAACCTCGTTGTGGGTGCTCTGCTAATCAGCAGGGTGGCATTTGATTCTCTCCCGAGTGGCTGCACAAACACCCAGCTTACAGGGAACACCACTCCCAAGTAAAATACATAGTGCTGGTCTCTTGTGTGAAATGCTGTTTGAGAATGTTTAGGAGAATATGGGACAGTTATTTAAATACTTAAATGATGCTGTTCACCTGCAATATGAATAGCTGTTTGCCACAGAATTAATTAAGAGAGCAAATTAACCCATAAGTATAGTGTAATCTGACTACTGAATGCCAAGGTAATCAAAATCTTAAAAATATTCCATGCCTCTTATAATTTAAAGACAAATGTGGAAATCATTATTATGTTTTTCTTTAATTTTGTTCAGCGAACAAATGTAGCAGCACTGCAGCTAAAATATGTGTGCTTGCTAAATCTTGGGCATGATTCTGCTCTCACTAACAGATGCTGTTGAAGAGTAATTCCACTGAAGCTGATGGCAGTGGACTGGTGAACCGCTGTGTGAAATCAGAATCAGGCCCATTGACATCAATGGAAAATTTTGCTATTGACTTCAAAGGCAGCAGAGCGAGACTATGGCTTAGAGTCCCTAAGCATCCCACTCTATCTGAAAACAATCTAGATTTAGATAATTGTAGGCTTTGGCCTGCAACCCTACTTTACATGAGCAAAAGTTGCAGGATTGAGTCTTGCAGACAAAATGCTATTTGAATTGACATCAAGAGCTAATTTGCCTGAATAAGAAATAGGTTGGTTTTCTTATCCATATTTAATTTTTAAATACTAACTGTACAGTACATTTTCTGATTACTTGTGTTCACTTGTTTAAGACTTATTGAATGCTTTGATGGGGTAATATGAAGCCCAATTGTTGTGTCAGACTAGCTATGTGAGGTATTGCCTTTTATTGGACTTTCTGCTGGTAGAAAGGACAAGCTTTTGGGCACCACAGAGCAATTCTTCTGTCCCGGAAAAAGTAACCAGAGTGTCACATCTAAATACAAGGTGGGGCAGATTGTTAAGAATATGGTTGCAATAAACTACTGAAGATGAGGTTAGCAATTAACACTTCTGCAGTCATGAGACAAAAGATGCTTGGTAGATTGCAAACTGTTGTAATGAGCCATAAAGCCAGTATCTCTGTTGAAACCATGATTTTTAGTGTCAGGTCAGATATAGAGCGATGGATAAGTCTTTGTTTTCAAAGATACATGTGTTGACATGTGGTGGTTACATTTTCTGGGCCTGAATAAGAACTGTGGAAAGTTTGAAACTTGTCTCTTCACCCCAACAGAAGTTGTTCTGATAAAAGATATTAGCTCACCCATTTTGTGTCTCTCATATACTGGGACCAACATGGCTATACCACTGCAAACACAGTAATTGATATATTTCTGTTGAACTTTGTTTTCATGATCTAGACTTTGCCATATAAGAAAATGGAAAACTACTTTTTTGTCTTTTGGTTTTATTCAGTCCCTTTGGAATCTAGTTTTGTGATATCTTAGGTCTCAGTCCAGTTCCTGGTGAATGAAAATATACAAAATATCACATCACTGCAACTGGCACTAATTTGTACCCTCTTGGCAGTGCTAGCAGAGAGGCCAAAGATTAAACATGTGTGGAACCCGAAATACTGTCTACCCCTACAGGTGACCCCATGTCAGGGTTCAGGTAGCAGTAGATTGGCAGGACAGTGTAGAGAAGTTTGCAGTGTTGCTGTCCATCCTGTACCTGTTCTGAGAATTTAAGCTCCCCAATCTGTTAATCCAGTATCTGTCACGTGCATTAACTGCAGTAAAAAATAATAATAAAAAAACCTACTATTCACTTAATAGCAGATCACATCCATTTTATCAATATGCATTTTTAATCCATGATTGCTCAGCTTCTGTAGTAATATCTATAGTCTTAAAGAGACCCTTCTTTTTCCAGAAGAACCGACTCCTTCACATAAAACCAACAGCCCACCCACTGGAGTTACATACCCTCATGATGATGTCTTGGACTATGGCCTCAAGCCATACAGCCCCCTGGCTTTTCCTAGTCTTTCTGCAGATCACATGGGCAGATATGGACAGCCAGATAGCATAGGGTCAAAATGCAACTTGGACCCTGTAAAGTCTGGGGCCTCTGCTTTGAGCCCTAGGATTGAGATCACTCCATCCCATGAACTGATTCATGCAGGGGGTCCCTTCCGCAGCAGAGACACAGATCTTTTGGTAGAACATCAGTCCACCTCAGCCACCGCTAGCCCAAGGTTTACACTGCCTGTCCCTGGCTTTGAGGGCTACCGAGAACCGCTATGTTTGAGCCCAGCTAGTAGCGGCTCATCTGCAAGTTTCATTTCAGAGACAAATTTCTCTCCTTACACATCACCGTGTGTTTCACCAAATAATGGTCCTAGTGATGACCTTTGTCCACAGTTTCAAAACATCCCTACTCGTTATTCCCCTAGAACCTCGCCAATAATGTCACCACGAACAAGCATCACGGAGGATACCTGCTTGGGACCACATTCACCATCACCCCGTCCCAACTCAAGGTCTTCATCACCAGGTGCAAAACGGAGGTATTCTTGCACTGAGCTCTGCAACACTCAACCGCCTTCTGCTTCTCCACGACAGTCAAGGACCCCTTCTCCACAAGCCTCTCCTCACCTTCCTGTGAGAGAAGACAGCTCTTTGGTCACTTACACCCAGTTGCCCAGCTCTTCGAGTCTCATGGATGCTATGAGCAACCTTAGCACGGATCCTCCCTGTGGTGTTCCCACGAAAATTTGGAGAAACAGCCCTGATCCCCCCTCCATGCCTTCCCACAAAAACAGCATTCCATGTCACGTCTTTCAGACCGTTGATTACCTTGGGCCTTGTGATCAGGAAGACAGGAGAAACCCAGCACCGGAATCTATTCTGTTAGTACCTCCATCTTGGTCAAAGCAACTGGTGCCTGCAATACCCATCTGCAGGTATGTTTTACTTTTCACTTGTATATTTTCACTGGCTAGGCATAGTCCTTGACTCTCACCAAATTCTTCACAGATGTGCTGCATTGCTGTAAATTATAAACAGATTGATTTTACCAGTGGAAGCTCTGTATGTAATTTATTCAGCACCATTGGCATGCTTCAAAGACAAATATTGCCCCCCTCCCAAGAAGCTTAGATTCTGAGGCCTCCAATCCTGCAGTATGATTCACCCATGTTGATCTTTGTGTTATGTGCGTTTGTCTCAGACCATGCTGTAGGATTGGTGCCTTTATATGTGGTGGCGTATTTAGAAAGTATAGACTCTATCTTTTGCGGTGCTAAATGCTCTCAAGTCCCAATGATGTGACTCACGTGGGAACTTAACCTACTCAGTAGCCCACAGACTTGAGTGATTTAACACATTAGCTCTAAGATCAGTAATCACAAATCTAATGCAAAAATATATAGTACATTACATTCTATGGGTTGTCTGATCTGAGGAGTTATTGCTGAAGTTTATGTCAATAAGGTAGTAGTTGGTTACAATCTATTTCCAACACTGAACATATTTTCTCTTACTGTAATTTTATAATATTAGATTTGCCAGTACTTTAATAACAGAAAAAATGTAGTATTTGGTGAGAAATGTTAGCATTTTATTATTGCTATTATCTTCATTTCATGTATCTTATACATCTCACTGTTCTTTTTATATCACCCAAACCAAAAACTCACTGTTTATACACCTGTTAACAGATTTCACAGTAATGATCAAAATCAAAGGTGCGTGGCAAAGATCAGATACAAGTGCACACTCTCAAGCTATTTATTAGGAAGCTATTGTGTCTCTGCTCAGAGTGTGATTTACTGAAATATTTGATAATTCTGGATTTTGGTGGCACTTGTAATTAAGTGCACAAGGTGAAGCCTTGACCCCATTGATGTTAATGGAAAAAATTCCAGTGACTTCAGTGGGCCCAGGAGTTTACCCATAGCACCTTAGCCCTAGGGAGAAGAAATGCTTACATGTACTTTTCTGAGTACCTATTCTGTCTGATGCCTAAAGAGGATCACAACTGAGAGTGCCACACTCAAGGCAGATTGCAAGAAACAAGTCAAACACCCCCCAAATCTATGATTAGATTCTCCAGACCAGTAACAAATAAACTTCCACAGTATCATACTCGTTAACAAGAAGCCAAAACACAGTCCGCTTTAGGCATTCCAACCCCCAGTTCAGTAGCCAGACAACTTTATAAGAGGTCACTGAAAACCCATATCATTATATATGAGATTCTACCAATCCCAGAGGATCTGATGTTCACCCATAGGTCAATAGACATTACAGATCTTACCCAAATATCACACACACAGCCAATTCTTAGTAAAATAACTAATTATTATTAATTATTACTATTATTAATAATACAAGAGTGTTATTAAACAGTGAAAATAATCATATACATTACAAGTGATTGCACAGTCCTTAGATCAGAGTGGTAGCAGGGATGGCAAATCTGCCAGTGTGCACACAAGCCTCTAAGGAATCGTCCCAAAAGGTTAAAATCCAAATAGCAGTTTAGGCGTGTCTGCATTGCCACTTTTCATGCTAAAACTTTAGTGGTTCAGGAGTGTGAACACTCCTCCTGAACAATAAAAATTTTAGTGCTGAAAAGCACCTGTAATGAGAGGGGGTCGTTTTTTTTTATTGCTGGGAGAGCTCTCCTTCAGCAAAAAAGATTGACTATACTTCCTATGTCACAATATAACAGCAACAGCACTGTAATATGGCAATGTCGACATACCCTTAGATGTAGAGTCTGTTCGCATCTTTCCAAACATTTTCCAGGGTATACCAAGTAACTATTTGGAGATCTCAGTCCCACAGCATAAACTTTCTCTGTTTAAAATTTGGCAGATTAGAGACAGCAGGATCAGACTCACGGTTCCTCCTTTATAACTGAAACAGACTGTCTAGTGTTTTCAGCACAGCATGCCTAAAGATTCTTCTTTGTTGAGCAATTATTTACCACATATACACACAGCTAACCCAGTTGTGCTGATTTACTGTCATTCATTATTTCAGGGTAAGCGGAAGGCAGTACATGTAATACAGGCTGGATCTCCCGGGTCTGGGACCCTGGGGACCTGACCGATCCTAAAAGACGGATTTTGATGGACCAGGGGAGGTCAATTCCAGCTCCCCTGCTGATGGACTCTGGGCTCTCCTGGGGTCCATCAGCAGACTCCCCGTCTGGCTCTGCTGCTGGGGCTCCGGTGCCTGAAGGCTGCTAGGGCCGCTGGGGCTGCACTGCTCTGGGGGTACTGCTGCCCCAGTGCGGCTGAAGCTCCACACCTCTACGGTGGCTGGAGCTCCGCTGTCCCGGGGCCACCAGGGCTCAGTGGCTCCAGGCTCACTGGGTCTCTGCAGCTCCTGGGCTGCTGGGACTCTGCTGCCCCAGGGCTGCCAGGGGCCACCGGAGCTCTGCTGCCTTGGGGCTGCCAGGGTCTCTATGCCCCGCCAGCCCTGGGACACTGGGCTCCTGGCTTGCAGCCTGCCATGGGGCTGCCTGGGCTCTCTGGTCCAGGGGCTTTCTGGTGCCATAACATCCATGGCTTGGCATACCACTGATATTGCCGGACCAGAGTCTCAGCCCAGAGAGGTTCAACCTGTACCATTAGTTTCATGTAGCCTCTCACATCTTTGAACTTAATGTTGACTGAACACATTCGCATGGAGAAGTAAAGACAATTAAGACTGGAAAGGGACTTAGCATCTACCAGCTAATTCGGTGACAGTCACAAACTTCTGCAGGATATAGGGATACAAACACTTTTAGCCTCTCCCCAGGGTTCTGTTTCTCAAATGAATGGGCACTTGCTGGTCTATTTACATCTCTTCAATTCACATACATGAATTGTCCTGATTACAATTGCAGTGCCTCTTGTTAAGTTATTATGGGTAAGCTGGTTTGCCAGCATCACACCTGCACCTCCTCAGGTTTTCCTAACTGACTGATCTTTTCCTGTCCAGTGTACCTGTTGCATCCCTTCCACCTCTGGAGTGGCCACTCTCTAACCAGTCTGGCTCTTACGAATTGCGCATTGAAGTGCAGCCAAAACCTCACCATCGGGCACATTATGAAACTGAGGGGAGCCGAGGGGCAGTCAAAGCACCAACAGGAGGCCATCCGGTGGTCCAGGTAAGAGATTTTAGAATGAATGGAAATGTGCAGGCAGTTGAGATTGGGGTGTGGGGTGGAAATCATGTTAATTCATTTTTATAAAACGTTTAGGGAGCTAATCCTGGGGAGGGGGATATGTGAAAACATAAATGCAAACCAGCAACATGTTTGTACTCTCTAGCATGTGTGAAGTCTGAAGTTGAGTGACAGTGAACTTCAAGAAGTTTGGAGATTTATTTGGGAAATGTCCAGAGGCTCAGCCAAAGTGTATGCCAAGTTTTTTGGATTAGAAATCACATTAAAATTCTCCTCTCTCTGTCAGGAGATGCCCAACAATCCTACTTTGAGCTGAGACAGCTTAACTCTCAAAACAGCCTCTCCTTTTGTGTCATTTCACGCCTTTTGTGATTGTTAGTATTTTGTGAAATAACTACCTAAGCCACTTTCCAACTTCAGAAATCAGCTCAGTGTTGGGTTCAAGGTGCGGTTTCCAGCGAATGCTCACAGTAGATCTCACTGTCTCTGAACCATTGCCTTTCTCCCTACTGCCAGCCAGGTAAACTGCCCAGTCCAGCTCCCTGCTATGCAGAACATATTCCTGCCAACTAGATGGTACCAAGCATACTTCTGAATGCACCTAACCCTTATGAGAGTCTTTTTTTATTACAGACTGTAACTGATAAGGGCTCATCCAGCTTCCAGTACAGTGAACAAACAGACAGTGACCACTCCTTTTGACTTTAATGAAAGTTGGATTAGGGACAGTGTGTATCTTCAGCTACAGTTTCCAAAGAGTTAATAATACACTGCCCCTAACTCATGGGAGTTAATTGCAGACAGAGCTGGCTGATCCTCTGGAGTTAGGGGTTGAAGTTTTGCAAACCTCTTAAAACTATTTTTTAAAATTAATTTTCCAAGCTCATTTGAGTTCCCAAATCTTTCTCCCCCTTCTCTAATATAAACTCTTCCCTGCCATGATCTGTGTTTTAAAATCTCATTGTCCTCTCGCTTATATCAATGTAACTCCTTGATTTTCACCCATGCAAATGAGAGGAAAAGTGGCACCCACATTTTTCTGCCTAAAGCAAAACCTGTGCAATTTATGGGGGTTGCAAGGTTCCCACCCCCACTCCATAATCTTTACTAACACAGGTGGGTGCCCTGTATATGGCACTATCCAGATTAGCCTTACTTTTTCTATTACTTTTTAGAATTTCTCTCTTCCTATTGCTAGTTACTTTTTTCCATAATCTTTCTGCTTTCCCCTCCGCTCCTCTCTTCTCAACTGTTTCTACCTATTTTTTCCATCACTGCCTCCTTTTTACAAAGTCTCTCCTAAGTGGCTAGAAAACCCTATTATCAATTGATCAGATTATTAGTAGGGTTTTAGGTGGGTTTGCAATTACTCCAGACAAGTTTACTTCTCCCTAGTTTAATCCCTCAACATATGCATTTTAATGTTTGGCCTGGGATATATTTAATTCACTGAGCAGATGCTAAATCTTGTCTTTACTTAATACTTTGCATGCAGTTCCAGTTGTCAGATGTTGTAACAATTCCTTTTTTTAATGTACTGGATATACGACCCCAATAGAAAATCCATCTACCAGCAACAGTTGGGGACGGGAGGACAACTGAAGTACACAGTACTGGGATTGATTTCAATAAGTTTGATAGCCTGCTAGAAGGTTGTAAATAGAGAGAAGACATGTTTATTGGGTGCATTAGTGTGTAGAGAAAGGGTAAGTGAGTTTAGGGTAGGACTTCACTTCTGAATTGGGATGATGTAATCACAGAAACAGTGAGAGTTTTTTATACGACCTATGGTTTATGTGCATTGGAGTCTGACAAACATCAGTGATCAGACATCTGCACTGATGTAAATGGAAGTCACTGCATTGATATCAGTGGAAGAATTTCAAATTTATACTGGTCTAAATGAGAGCAGAGCTTGGCCCCTTGTCTAACACAAAGGTAGATGAGCTAAGACGTCATTTTATGGAATTAATTATTGTAAGGCAGACTGTTGTCACCTTCCTGATTAAAAGCTATGGATAAAAGCATGGCTGAGTAACTGGCAATATTCCTGTGGGACCTGCCAGTCTTTAAGTTATCATCTTTCTTAGTTCCTTCTCGTTTCAGCTAATATTATTCAGGAAGTAAGAACAATTGTTGATTGGTGTTCGTAGAAGCTAGAGTAGTTTGGGAAAATGATTCACGTATATCAAGCAGACAAGCACAGACACAAAAATTAACTTTGATTAGCCAAAGGCAGGGTTATATCCTCCAAACTTTACTCTTGTACTAGGGCTTGAACGGGAAGGCACTACATCTTCTAGCCTGATCCAGCAAAACATTTTAAGGACATGAACAATCCCACTGATGGGTCTAAGCATGTGCATTCATTTAAGCACAGTCTGAAGTGTTTTTCTGGGTCAGGCCACAGTGCTCAGCATCTTGCAGGATCAAGTTCTCGGCCCTGACATGATTAGTCTTACTTCAGCTGGTCTGCACTTAGGTGTCAGGAGTGTGAGCAAGGGGATTAGAGCAATCACTGGCCAGCATGTTTTTGATGTACATCAGTCTGCTGATTTAAACATTTGCAGTCACTTAGTTTATGGAACAGACTAGCTTATTACACAGGGCAGTGTGTATGGCTCTATGACATAAATGACCAATCAGTATTTACTCATTCCTTATGTTGCTTACAAGTTGGCAACACTTCCTGTCCAAAGATAATGCTCATCAGCAATGTTCCCTCTAATCTTTTCCATCCACGTGCAATATATCGAGGCATGTGTGAATGTGTATCACCAGTAGAAACAAAAATCCTAGGTGTGCACACACTGCAAATCAGCTGGGTGATATTTGAATGGCTCCTGAGCAGCTGTACAAGCACCCAGCTTAGGCTACATCTACACTGCTGGCAGAGAGTATGCTAATGAAGCTCTCATTAGCATTTGTCACGCTGTCATCTGCATATTCTCTCCTTTTTTGAAGCATAAGATCTTATGCAAAAGGTTTTTTTTGTGCAAAATGGACCCGTCTACACTGCTTGTTTTTGCACAAAAACCTCTTGTGCAAAAAGCATTGGCAGAGACTATGTAAATGACAGTATGACAAATTCTAATGAGTGCTTCATTAGCATACTCTCTGCCAGCAAACGCCTGCAGTGTAGACATAGCCTTACAGAGAACACTGTTTATCAGTGGGATGTTTATCATAGTGAAGGAGTTCTTATGATATGCAGGGGTAGGGGTGGGAGCAAAGAACAGTGCTTCATTTTTTTCCTCTCATTGATATCAGTCAGGAGAGTTTTATGTTTCCTGGTGGAAACAAGAACAGATATTCCCCATTCTATCAAAATTTTGCAGTCAGATTTAAATATACTGAACTGCATTCAAAACATTAATGGCATGCTCTCCCAAACAGCTGTGCTTCCCAACAGATGTGAATGTGTATGAAGAAAATATGGACAGTTTCTTTATAAGGATTCATTATAAACCTGGAAATTTTCACTGGATGTCAGTTCAGTCTAACATAACAAGGTTCATATGGGTGCAGAGTAATATGACAGAGTTGCACCTGTATGGTTTATGACATCTGAAACCAGAGCAGACTAGTAAAATCCAAAACTTTTAGGTAATAAAATTTGTTTGGCTCTGATTTTTATTTCTTCCCTTCAATACATTTCAACATTTGTATTCACTCCTTTTTAGTTTGAATTGTACAGAAATGAAAGAAAGAAAGCAGGGGAGCAGTGCTGGTAGTTTGGATGATAACTAGTACAGATTGTGTTGCTGAAAATGTACAGGAGCCTTTTAGCAGCTGGCTGGGAATGGGCTATTAAGAAATGAAAATTAATGTTCAGCAAGTTCTCTCCCTGTTAAGAGTCAAACTAGGAAGCTGAAGTTGCCAACACAGTATTGATGGGGCTGCAGTTGTCCAGCAGCTTGATAACTTGAAATTATAGATTCACAACCAACTATGTTTCACAGATCTTAAAGCACGTCACTGAATTTCCTTAGAAGGGTTTTGCTAGCACCTCTCTTTAGTAGCTTTTCTAAGTCTGACCCTATATAATTCTCTTTAGTGCTATCTAAATAGCGCTTAAATACAACGTCCCAAATTTACCCCTTTTGTAGAAACTCCATTGTCTACACTGGAATTACAGCTGGGATGAATTTGTCCCATTCATCCTATTTGATTCCATTGCTAATATCTATGATATCTGATTCTACCATTTCAGCTATCCTCTCTCTCAAATAATCCCACTTTTAAAAATTCTTTTAACATAGGTTGGGAGAGATCACGTGTGTGTGTGACTGAATGATCCCACAAATTCTTTGTAAGGAGAACATTTTCACTCTATTATATTGATTTTTTTTTTGGCATTGGCCTGCATTTTTTTTCTTTGTTTAAATCTCTCTTTTGCATGCACGCCCCTGCTTCTGGGTGCGCTGAAGCTATGAGCCGGCAGATCTCATATCCTCTCAGTTTTATCTTGTGGTTGATCATTCTGAGGCTGCTTCCTCTTCTTGGTGTGTTTAGTACAGAACATTTGGAGCACAGAACAGGGGAACTTGTATCACTGTCATGCTCCGCAGAAGGGCAAAAGCCACTAGTGAGAGCCACTGACAGGACAAATCATAGTGAAGTCGGACAGTGGTTTTCAGTTTCTTTTTCATTTGAGATCCCTACCCAATGTTGAATAGAGCTGTGGAGTGCCTTTGGAAATCTTAGACATAAGTCTGCAGACCCCCTAGGATCTATGGACAACAGGTTGAAAGCCACTGATCTAGGACATTTGCTTTTGTGTTTTACATTTTGTGTTTTACATCTCTGAGGAAGGCAACAGGAGCCTGTGTGTCAGGAACAAAAAATGATGCTAACAGGAGGTTATATTCTGACCAGGCAGACATGGTAACTGATAATAGAAGGAGGAATTGGAAACACCTTCCGTTTTCTTCCTTTCGAGTGTCCATCAGGGTTATTGGCATTGGAAGGTCCAGAAAGGC